CAGGTTAGATAATACTAGGTAGAATTGCAGCCAGGACGATTTGCGAGCGCATATGTCGTGGGGTTTGTGCATGGGAGCGAGACATGCTCGCTAGGATTGTGGGATATGTATAGATAGATGCGTACTCGCTCCCCACCTTCGGCCTTAGTTACTTGGATGGGTTGCGATCGAGCACCAGTCTAATGTATAGGTTTACCAAGTCTGCATTTGCACGCTATGGCGTTGGCTGGGCCACCATCTATGTCTATGGCGCTATGGCAGTTTGCTGGCGCCAGCTGCGGCGTTGTTCATTTTATTTTATTTTATTTATTTGATTTTTTTTATTTTTATGTTTTTATTTTTTATTTTTTTATTAATATTTAAAAATAAATAAATTAATAAATTTAAAAATTTTAATAATAAAAAAAAAAAAAATTAATAAATAAAAAATATAACTGCTGTGTAACACCGGAAATCGCTATTGGCGTCACCTGGGGCCACCATACTTTTGCGTATTGTGAGCGGCATCTTGAATCCAAAGGACCGCCAGCGAATGATTTTCTGAAATATCTGGACTCCAGGACGTCTAGAGAATATATGTTGGGGCATATACCCACATTTTCGTGTGGCAGGAAACCCAATTATCACATTTAGAGGAAACATTAGAATGGGCCATATTGGATTTCATATTGCCGCAGCTGAATTTGTTTATTTTGAATAACTAGACTCAAGACGTCGTTAGAGAATTATTTAGATGTCTAACCCAATTTTCGATAATGGAGAACTATTATGAAACTTAGAAAAGCATAGGATGGCCGGCCTTCTTGCGATTTCAACATTAGGGGTATGTTACTCCATTCTATACAACGTCTAAAGCCAACATAAAACATATATTAGATACCGAATTGTCAGAATATGTAGTCTTTAAAACAGCACACCAAGCAGGCCCTGTTAGCCAGCTTTCTATTGGGGGTGGGTTCGCTTTTTCAATGTTGGCATTTGCTCGGCAGGGGCGTGGTCAGGATTTTTGACAGGGTGGGGTCGTCGAACTCGTGAACAAGTTGCGAGCACTGAGAAGGGGGGTCTGGGGCGGCCTCCCCAGAATTTTTTAAAATTAGACCCCTCGATGCGTTTTCTGCGCGAGAAGGGGGGGTCCTTTGACTCCCTGGGACCCCCAAAACACGCTGCTGCCTCGGGCGCGAAGGCGACAGGCGAGGAGCAAGCGACGAGCGGGGGAGATACGGTGTGGAGGGGGTGGTTCACGGTCCTTCCCCTCCCGCACGATCGCGAGTGTTGCAATTATTACACTAAATTGGAGCGGCCTGAGGTGGAAATTCTTGGAAAATTTGTAAATTATTTTTTTTTTGCTTGTGGGGCGGGGGACTGGCTCGGGGGCGTTCGTTCGAACCCCCTCGAACCCGCCTGGCCTTGACGGGCACTGCCCCAAGACATTGTTGGTATGGGTTCAATGCAGGCCATGTTGCATTTGCTCGCAAGGTGCGCCATTATTGTGTTTCGGACATTGGTACAGGCTAGCGTGATACGGCACGCAAGTCCGTCATCTATTACATACAGCCACATGTCTTATGTGCAATGTATTGGCACGAAATGGATTCAGTGTCGAGCCTGGTGTCGCTATAGTACAAACAGTAGATTATTTCCATTACGGTCACAATTTTCTGATTTACAACCGCAGGTCAAATGCGAAGCGAATGCTACTGAGTACTATCTACACACTGGCTTCCACATGTGGCCTCTGATAGTGGCTGCGATGAATGTAGTATCGAGTGCTCGTCTTTCATTGGTGGCCAATAGTCAATATTGTTCTTGCGATGGAAGAACTTTCGACAATAGATAACTGTATAACTACCAATGTTGTCGTTGCCGATTATACAGTTGACAGTATAAATGCTTCACTGATGATAGCCAATTATCTAGGTGATAGTGGTAGATTCTGTTCCAACCTATGGAATGCGATCTTGGATCTTCAATGAATACTTTCATGCCGCGTTTTTAGAAATCTGCAACTGGCTTCGTGTGTGGTCATTCCGTTAGCGCCATGAAAAGCTAACAATCCCTTTCGAGTGTTTTGTTTATTGCAATGTCATGTGACTAGTATCGTCAAAGGCCAGATTTTTGAAGTTCCTGCCTTCGATCCAAATACTTCCTGCGGACAACTTTGCGAAAACACTGTTAGCATGATTAACACATCTGGTATCCCTGCACAATACTACAATCGTTTCGCTTATATCCGTGGTCTGCGAGCATCGCACGCAGAGAACAATTCGCGTGTCAGCCTCCTCTGTGGTTTGTTCAAAACTGTGTTGACACATCACGCTTCCGAGGTAATATCGTTTTCGTTATTCCGTAAACCCTCCACACACAAATTATTCTCTTTTACCGCCAAGTTCACTAGAGATGAAAATCAATTCCTTCATGACACGAAACGAGCAAGATCGGCTTTGTTTCTCAGCGAGAGTGATAAATGTCTTCGAAGTTCTGTGGGAGTTTTTGTGTCGTTTACCTGTAAATCAACCGCCCTAATTAGTTTGTGTCCCTGATCGTTCGTCTTTCTCGGTGTACCTTCTTATTAATAGCATTCTTCCTCGTATCGTCAAAATATATATCTATCCTGTCTGAATTCTCTACCGTGTGACTTCACACAGTTCACAACACATCTTGCCTATAAGTCACAAAACGTAATGCTGTGTCGGGTTTTCCATGGATTGTACCGACTGACCATACCACTCAATAATGGTACATGTTGTTAACGATGTCAGCTTGATAGGGAAAATCTGGCTGGCAATTGTGCATTTTTCGACAGATATTTATTAGTCGCGATTTTGTCTGCTTTCGGGAGAGAGGAGAGAGAGAAGAGAGCTGAGAGAGAGCAGAACAGAAGGAGAGTGTGTATGTGTCAGAGAGAATGAGAGATGATGAGATGAGGGAGAGAGAGAGTGTCCCTGTGTGAAGCGCGGGTCGCCTGAAAGACCGTCGTTTGGCAACGCGGTCGGCTGTGTGTGTGATAGTGTGTGTGAGAGAGTAAGAGAGAGAGAGAGAGAGAGAGAGAGAGCCGGCGGATCATTTGCGTGTTCTGTGTTGTGTGCTGTGACAGAGCACGAGAGAGAGAGCAGTGTTGCATGTGGTTGTGTGTTGAGAGAGAGAGAGGAGAGAGAGAGAGAGGAGAGCAGCATGAGATGAGAGACGAGATGAGAGAGAGAGAGTGTTTGTGCGTGTTTGTGTTGTGTGCGTGGACAGAGAGAGAGGAATCAGAGAGGAGTGTGTATGTGTCAGAGAGAGGTGTGTGTGTGTGTTGCATGCTGTGTGTGTGTGAGGAGAGAGAGAGAGAGAGAGAGGTGTGCGTGTTTATGTTGTGTGTGTGACAGAGCAGAGAGAGAACCATAGGCGAACAGGCATGCGGCAGCGAAAACAGCCAGGTTTGGACAACGTTTGGGCACTCTGACGTATTGGGCCACACGTTGTCAAGATGGCGTTAGGCGCACACTTGGCCACGCTGAGCAAAAAGCCGTTGAGGCCAAACGTGGCCTGTCTGCACGTTATGGCAACTGTTGTCAATATGACGTTGGGCCAACGTTGGCACGCCTGTTAGAAAAAGCCGTTGCCGGGCCAACGTTGGCAATATGTACGTTGGACCACCGTGCACGCTGAGCAAAAAGACGTTTGGATCAACGTTGCAATATGACGTTGGGCCAACGTCTGGGCCTGCGCCGTTAGTGCCAACGTCTGGCGCAATGTCGTGCCACGAGTTGGGCAATGTTGGCGCCAACGTTGGCCAACGTTGGCAGCGCTGAGCAATAAGACGTTGGCATCAACGTTGGCTGTCTGCGTTGCGGCCACTTTGGCAAATATGAACGTGGCGCAACGTTGGGGGCGACTGACCTGCCGGTGCGGCCAACGTTGGGGCCAACGTCGGCACCACTTGTTCGCGGCCAACTTGGCACGCTGCAGCAAAAGACGTTGGATCAAAGTGGCCTGTTCTGACGTTGGCGAACGTTGCAGATATTATGACGTTGGCCAACGTTGGCGCCCAACGTTGGCCCAACGTTAGCATGAGCTGAAGAAGCGTTGGGCCCAACGTGCGCCCAACGTCTAGCATGTTATCTGCGGAATTACCGCTAAATGCTTCGCGCTAAGTCCTGTTTCTACAAGGTACACACTCAGGAGGAGACCTTATTGGCGTCATGAACAAATGTGGGTAAAGACTACCAAAATTAATGCCTCTCGCATATTTATTTTAGTTATCAAACAAATAAACCAATTTCATGGCCGGCATCTTTGAAATCCAGATGGCGCCATCTATGCTTTTTCTAAGTGTCATAACTGCGCGTGTTCTCCATATCTGAAATGCTGCGGATATAGACAGCAACAAATTAGTTGCTGTACTCTTACGACGTCTTGAGTTAGTTATTCCAAAATAACAACATTTCACTTGGCGGCCCGATATTGAAATCCAATATGGCCGCCATCCTATGCTTTTCTAAGGTGTGATAATCTGGGTTCTCCACTATCGAAGAATGTGCGTATGCCACCAAATTATGTCTCTACGACGCTGGGAGTCCCAGCAGTATTTCAGAAATCCATTTTCGCTGGCGGTCATTTTGGATTTCAAGATGGCCGCCACAATACGCAAAAGTCAGCCTGGAAACATACCCAGTGGAACTCCCCAGGTATCATAGAAATGATATTTACCCGTTTCCAGCCTCTACCCAAAAAGTTTAGGCTCATCCTTATTTTGGATATCTGCCCCCTGACTACTAGTCGGATTCACACGAAATAGATTTCTCTGAATTATCGATTTCCCACCTTTTTATAACGCAATGTAATAATCTCAGCGCTGTCGTCTTGCTTGTGCTGTTGAATAGCGATGCGGAGACGATGACAGTGAGAGATAATTTAAACCTGATCAAGTCCAGTTTCATTAAGGGGGCTTATGTCGGGCTTGCGAGCCGACTTGACTGGAAGCAACTGGCTGCAATTCACTGCGACTGCAGTGCTTAGGTCGGTCGACTGCGACGCGACTGCCGGCGACTGGCCGCCACTAGTTGCTCGGAATAGAACAGTGGGCAACTGGACGCAACTAGTCGCTGCCGATCGCTTCCAGTTGCTTCCAGTCGAGTCGGCTCGCAAGCCCGACATAAGCCCCCCTTTATGTCGATAGTTGCACCCAGTCTTTTCCTCGTTTTCGCATCTCGCGCTCGGCTGAGTCTGAGCAGTTTTTCGATCAGCGGTGATGTGCGTTCATGACGCTGCCATTCGTTTTTTTTTTTACGTGTGATTCCTTTCTGCAGGTACGGTCGGACAGACGGCGTTTCTTGGAGCGTGTCTGTTGGTGACGATCATTGTCTACGTGGGGAGAATGACGTTCGGCTGGTTTAATCAACTGAGCCCGTCGGCGCCATATCGCGTAAGTCAGGGGGGCGGAAAGAAGCAGGAAAGGTGCTTCTCCCTCCAGAAGAAGACAGCCGAAATACGATTTACCCTTTTGAGCTCTACGTGTAAAATTAGCAAGGTGCATATAACAGCTCTATGTAGCCACTTGTTTGGGTGCTGTCTCTCACTAGGGGACGTCTTCAGCAAGGTTACAGTAGGGTCCCTTTATAGATGTTGTACAACAGTAGAAGGCATCCATAGGCAGCAGGCCTGAATAAGCATCGAACAGAAATTATAGAATTAAAAATACTCGCACTGTTTCGTCGCATACACAACATACACTTTATTCACATTAAATAACTACAGATTCGTGCTCTGTGCTCCGCTTGAAACTTTTGCCAGCTCTATGATGTCAATTTCTACAAAGTAGTCTGATCACATTTCAAACACAAAAATGAGCAACCGGTACCATGGCTACGCCACTTGACAGAATGTCACAACCACACGACAAGACCAATTTTAATTCTAATGCTTTCTTGACGTTCACGAGGTATCTAACTTGCGTGCAAATGCTAATGCAAATTATTAAACTCTAGTGCCGAATTTTACCGAAAAGAAATGCCAAAAAATTCCATTTCTAGAGACCAAATAGTGTAACGGTGAACAATTTGTGGAGGCTTGATGTTGTATGCCTCCTATATAGATCAATATTAAGGGACTCTATAGGTTACAGAGTGTAATAGACAAATACCGAGTGAATGGATAATAAATAAACTTTCCTGCTGGAAAGTAAAGTGCATGGCTGCTTTCATTTTTCTCACAATAGATCTGCTTTTCGTTGTGAAAGTGGGGATGTGTTAATTTCGAGCCATTGTCGTTGGCATTGTGTTGCTTTTCATCTACCTATACAGAATACCCAGTCCACCAACCACGTTATGAAAACCACTAACCGTTGTTTAAAAAAATGGCTAAATGCCAGGCTGTACTCATTTGGCTGGTTGCCGATTCATTGTGACAATAGTGAAAGAAATGCACTAGATTTACCGGACTAAAGTAGTATGTTAACGAAAATCGCTTTTTACGTTTTTCAAGCCAATTTTTTTTAGTTGCATTAATACACGTTGCCACACATTATGCGAACAATACCATGTTGTTTAAACTTTCTATGCATCACTGTTTTCTGAAACATATTCATTAAAGTATTGAATAACTATGTGTTAAATTAACAGCGATAGAAAAATGCGACAAAACTATATATACATTTTTGGCCCCAAACTTTTCAGATAATTTTCTTTCAGCCCGTTTGCTTTCGTTGCTATTGTGGCTTCGCAATGAAATGCGGATTTTTGTTCTCATTTCATGCAGTGTTTTTTCAAACATGTTTTGGAAGATTTTTATGTAAATTGAATTGTATCTTTTATCCAATTCATCTATTGTTTTTTTCTAAATCAGCATTTGATAGCGTTTTTGCAATTTTCGTATGTACGAATTCGTTCGATTTCGTATACACAGGTTTTTTAGTTGGCATTTTACATTGAGCTGAATATAATGTGGTCACTCAAGGGAAATCGCAAAAAATTGGCTTTTCTAAACAGGTTTCCTTCTCTAGAAGTCGTTTCACTGTATAACTGCCACTGAAAAGAAATACAAAAAGTGGCCGATCGATAGAGGTGGCCGTTCTGTGGAGGTAGCCACTAACACGCGTCTGACTGTACGTGTATCGGCGCTTATAGTACGGAAGGATATGGAGTAAATTATGACCTAGAGTTAAACTGCTCCCAGTTGTTGTCAAAACAAGTTTACAACCAAATATTTCTCTGCTCTGTTTTTACACACGAGATTCGTTAGTTTAGGTTGGAGCTGTGCAAGTAGTATATAATCGAAGATGGAGTCCATATGCTTACTTACATAATGCAAACGCATTCTCTACGCCTACGGCAACGTGCTTTAAAAGTTCTTTCTCGGTGATTGACGATGTGCGCTTGCGCCTTGCGAATGTTTTATGCGTGGACGTGTAAAAGCAATGTTCGACACGTGATGTTTCTACGCTCGTCGCTAGATCTTTTTGTGTGTTTTTTTTCCGTGAAACGCAAATGTGATCAATCTAAGATCTGCTCACGGCTTCTTGCTGGCATATTGAAGTTCTTTGCGATCAATCATCATCAATCAATCATTCGATCGCAGATTTTCATGACTTGGTATCAAATCGGCGAAACACGAGAGGCACATCTACGTGAGCGTCGTACGAAGTATCACGTGCAAGTTTTAAAAAAAATAATTTAAATTTTGCAGCAATTTCAGAATGTTATCAGCAGTCGTGCAGGAGTGGGGACACTGGAGCAGGGCTCCAATCAAGATCAGTATACACGGAGTGACGCCGGGGTAGGATAATCTTAATTGCTCTGGTGTTATGTGCAATGCGAGCGGAGGTAATTTCGTTATGTGCGTGCTGCCATGCATACATACTGCTGCTGCTGCTGCTGCTGCTGCTGCTGCTGCTGTTGCTGCTGCTGCTGGTGGTGGTGGTGGTGGTGCTGCTGCTGCTGCTGCTGCTGCTGGTGGTGGTGGTGGTGGTGCTGCTGCTGCTGGTGGTGGTGGTGGTGGTGCTGCTGCTACTGCTGCTGCTGCTGATAGTGGTGGTGGTGCTGCTGTTGCCGTTACTGTTATTGTTGCTGCGTTCTGCGTACGTACTGCTGACGTACTGCTGCTATAGTTGTTGTTGTTGTTGTTGTTGTTGTTGTTGTTGTTATTGTTGTTTTTGTTGTTGTTGCTGTTGCTGCTGCTACCACTACTGCTGTTATTGTTGCCACATACTGCTGCTGCTGCTGTTGTTAGTGTTGTTGCTGCTGAAGTTATTGTCTGCGTTGTTAAGCTTGGTCGTTGATTAGCCCAAATTAAATTGCCAATCGTTAATACTTCGTTACAAAGTCGAATTGCTGGGACGTGCTACGAATTATAATTGGTTGAAGCTCGAACGAATGCACAGAGTTAATAGGCGTTGTCATGCAGGCCTGACGGCTTGTCAACTGCACTAGTGATGTGTGAAAACAACTCGTGTCGGGTAATTAAAGTGAAAATCGACATGCCCTTGACGTGTCATTCGTGATCTGAAAATCTCGACAGCAGTGTTTGTGTCGGGGAAGGGGGGAGGCGTGTTACTGTTCAGTTTTCTCGCTATAAACTAATTTCAACAGCTGCTGTCAAACTAATGCTAATGAAGACATAGTGCTTTAATTGCTAAATGACACAGCTGTAATGCCCGAAATGGGACTATATCACCGCACTCCTCCGCCTGACAATCTGCACGCTTACCATTGGACAACGTTTTGACCCCCTCTTATGGGTGGTTATTGGTTAATGGCAAAATTTACTTACTTGTCTTCATACATTGTTGTTGGTACACGGACACGCATACTACAGGCCCGCACTTTATTTGACCGTGGCATGTTATATTGTTGGGCCGTTATGGCGTTTCAATGTGTTTTCTTTGGGTGTTGACTTTAATACGTATGCGCTGGGCTGGATTCTTTGATGCCAGTTGCGAGAAATATAAGGGACAGGTCACGATACATGTTTCATCTTCATGTTTGATGACGATGACGTTGACAAATGCCCTAGTGAGATTGAAGGTGACTCAAGGTGAGATGGTCACTGCGGGTACAAACATGTCGGATGTCATAGATGGCAGGAAGAATGGCTGCATGCTCGTGGCAGTACGGCTCGGAAACGTTTTTGTTTTGTTTCGAAGCATCGCCGTGTACTTTTCATCGTCTGCTGAAATATTGGCGAAAAACCAAAGGTTAGTCTTGAGATTGTAAACTTCTTGGTGGAAAGTTAATAACGAAAAACTTCATGTCGCAGAAGTAAACGTCGCTTGAAAGTAATCAGTGTGGGCATATCGGATGCAACAAACGATGGCTCTGGGTTTTAATTCTGCTTGGCTGTTCATTTGTTTTTTTAGCCCGTCTGTGTACTCCTAACAGCTTCACGCATCAGCCACGTGGTCGTGTACATTATTCTACTTTAGGACCCCGGATTTGAATGATGCGCTTAGAATTAGGTTAGGAAAACGGTTGGGTTAGGAATAGGATTAGGTTTTAGGATTAGGGTTAGCGCTAGGGATCGAGTAATGATGATGACGATGACGACGATGGTGATAATTTCTGCACTGGCGTACATCCCGAAGTAAGGTTGAGCTGAACATGAAACGAAGCGAACCACGTTCATTGCTACCCGCGTACATAGAACGTAGCAAGATACGTTACAGGCGATGTAGATCAACTTTCTCCGAGTGACATAGACGTAGCATCTGTGTATATAGACCTTTTATGTATATATATATATATATATATGCATTGATCAGTGTGTGTATATAGCCTAGGGGCGGTCGATCACCGTCGTAGGGTTTATTCAACCCGAGTTTGATGCTCTCAATATTAGCTAATATTGTGAGTCGTGCTAAAGCGCACAGCCTGAGAGCATTGTTGTACGGTTCAATATCTCCAGCCTCGGTCACAGGGCGGCACAGTTTTCAAGTTCGCATCTGGATTAGTGAAGTTTCGACTGGATGAGTTAAAATTTTAGATAATTAAATTTCCATAACAAGAATGTGCCGATTTAATCATTTCCGCGAGCAGTCGACCGTGAAGTTTTGAAAATTACGTAGGCAAGTGTAAATATAGGACTTACAGGTCTACCGGTGAAAGGATGAAGTACGTGATGTATGGACTGATTGAGGGCTTAGTTATTATGGATAGGAGGATAGGAAGAGAGAGGATTGAAACCAACTAGCTGATGATATGGCCGCGAGTGACAGATCCTTTGATCTATAATCAAATCGTAGTAACGACGTAGTCACTTTGATGTAATTGTGTTTACTCAAAGGATGTCGTATGCATCAGCAAGCGACCTTACAACACAACCACACACTAGAGCAAAATGCATCAGCAAGCAACATTGAAACGACCGTACAAAAGCAAAGCGCATTAGCAAGCGACCTTGGTACCCAACCACACGATAGCAAAGCGCACGTGGTGCTCGAGCAAAACCACAGGGAGTGTCTTTTATCTCCTTCTCTGCGAAGTGTGGCCAAAAGTGTCGCAAACGTCTTGGTGGTAATACGATTATGTTAGCGGCGTTTTCAAGGAAAGCTAGAAAACAACATCACATTTAGAAGTAGGTCTCAGGGGAGAGATAGCTAGTGATCCGCTAGATGGCGCATTATTAATGTGTTGTGGATATAGAAATCAGTTAACCCTAAACCTAACCCTAACCCTAACCCTAACCCTAATCCTAACCCTAATCCTAACCCTAACCCTAATTCTAAAATAAAACAAAATTAGCCAAAAATAATAAAAATAAATAAGAGACAAAATTAGCCAAAAATAATAAAAATAAATAAGAGACAAAATTAGCCAATCAGAGCCGTCCCCTAGCGGATCACTATCTCTCCCCTGTGCAAATTTTTTTGGAATGGACGAGCACGTTGCAACAGAGTCCGAGCCGACGCAGACCCCAGTGATGGGTTAAACCCGCACCCTCAGATTAGCAAAGCGGAGTTATAACGTATGCATTTGCGGACAAGTTGCAACACAGCTGCATGCGTTTACATGTACAAGGTACACACCTTACAATAAACATACAAGGTGTTTGTAATGCAAAGAATATACCTTACGACAAACATACAAGGTGTTTGTCATGCAAGCAATATACTTTACAACAAACATACAACGTATGCGCTGGGCCTTGGATTTCTGTTGATGCCGTTGCTATGAGAAATATAGGGGACAGGTCACGATTACATGTTTTCATCTTTCATGTTTGATGGACGATGAACGCTTGACAAAGTCGCTAGGATATTGAAGAGGGTGAGCTGCAAGTAGATGGTCATGCGGGTACAAACAAATGTCGGGATGTCATAGATGGCAGTGAAGAAATGGCTGCCCTGCTCGTGGCAGTACAACTCAGAAACGTGTTTTGTTTTGTGTCGAGAGGCATCGCAGCGTGTCTTTTCACTCGAATCTGCCTGAAATATTCGGCGAAAAACAAGCGTCAGGTTCTTGAGATGTGTAAACTTGTTGGGTGGAAAGGTTGAATAATGGAAAACTTCAGGTGTCGCAGAATGTAAACTGTCGCCTTTCGAAAGTAATCGAGGTGTGCATAGTCGGATGCAACAAAACCGATGGGCTGCTGGGTTTTAATTCTGCTTGGTGTTCATTTGTTTTTTTAGACCATCTGTGTACTCGTACCAGCCTTCACGCAGTCAGCCACGTACATTAGGTCGTGCTACATTATTCGCACTTTAGGACCCCCGATTTTGAAATGATGCGCTGCTGAGATTAGGTTACGGGGAGAGAGACGGTTGGGGTTAGAATGAGGATTAGGGGTTGCGTAGGATCGCAGTAATGGATGACAACGACCATCGATGGGAGTGACGGATGACGAGCGCTTGGGTGATAAGTTCTGCGACTGGCGTGACGTCCCAAGGACGTAAGGTTGAGCTGACACATGAAACGACAGCGGAGCGCACGTTTCAGTTCGCTACCCGGCGTCCCTAGATGAGAGCATAGCGAAGATACGTTACAGGCGATGGGAGATCAACTTTTCGCAGTGCACATGAGAGCGTGAGGCATCGTGTGGGTATATAGAGCCTGTTTGATGTAGTATACTATGGTGCATGGGATCAGGTGTGGTGTAGATAGCTAGGGTGACGGCTCGGATCCACCGTCGTACGGAGTTTATTCAACCCGAGTTTGCCTGCTCTCAAGGGTATTAGCCTAGATATTTGTGTTGGGAGTCGGTGCTAAGGCACAGCTGAGAGCAGTCTGTGTACGGGTTCGCGAGTATCTCCAAGCTCGTCAGCAGGGCGGCCACGAGTTTTCGAAGGTTCGGCCATTCTCGGATTAGTGAAGTTGTCAACTGCGGATGAGGTTTAAAATTTTCTAGGATAATTAGATTTCCATACACCAAGGAATGTGCCGATTTAATCATGCGTTCCGCGAAGCAGGTCGACCGGGTGAGGTTTGAAAATTTTACGTAGGCAAGTGTAAATATATGACTTACAGTCGGCTACCTCGCTTCCTTGAAAGGACGGGATGAAGTACGGATGTTATGGACTGATTGAGGCTTAGTTATTATGGGCGATCAGGAGTGGATAGGAGAGAAGAGGCATGAAACCAACTAGCTGATGATATGGGCCGCGAAGTGACAGATCCTTTGATGCTATAATCAAATCGTTAGTACGACGTTAGGTCATTTTTATGTAATTGTGTTTACTCAAAGGATGATCGTATGCATCAGCAAGCGACCTTAACAACACACCAACACTAGAGCAAAATGCACTCAGCAGAGCAACTATTTGAAGGACGGGACGGTGACAGAAGAGCAGGAAGCGCGCGGAGTGTAGCGAGGGCGACCTTGGACCCAACTACACTGATAGTCA